CAAGAAAGCAATAACTATTTCTCAACAGACAAATAGAGAAACAACATATAGATTGAACTCACAAATGTCAACAATGAATTTTCCTATTTTTGATAGACGATTTCTTTCGTTTATTGTCTAAATAATATTACTTTCAATTAAACTTCAAGATAAAAAATAGGAAAGTAAAAGTACCGGAATAATAATGATGATACATGTCCAAGAAAATCGAAAAAGCTTGTCAATGGAGTCCCTCTGAGGCTAAAATGTGATACTCGCATATTCTGTATAAGATAGTTGGTAATTTAGTAAAAATTTTTTTACGTAATGTAATATACTTTAAAGTTTGAAATAAGTAAAGTGGAACAATAAAAGGTTTATACAATGAAAGATTTATTTGACAAAAATTCTATTATGGTCAATTGAATGACTTTAAATAATCCTAGTAACAATTCTCTAATGTAAACATACAAAATAGTTAAAAGTGTTCAGTATATACAGCAGTGTATTCTCTTCTTGTATGTTCACTATAGCACGAAAGAATAGGAGCAGCACAAAAAAAAACAGTTAACTTCAGAAGGTTTATTCTATATAGTAAAAGGCATTCATATTTCACTTTAATAAGACTTCTACTAAGAAGTCATCGAATTTAAATAGAAATTGCTGTTCAGCGCAAACCTAAGTTGTTCACGATAATGAAACGTTCAAATTGTTGAGACATTGACAATTATTGAAGAAAACAATTAGGTTTTTGTTTCTAAAAACATTTCAAAAAGAATCTGGTAGACTAAAATGTGACTGATAGTACTTGTTACACGTAAGACCGAAATCATGTGCAGCAACTACGAAAAAAAGTGTAGTAGAAAAATACTGTTCAACATCAGCTAACTTAGCTTTAGAGTTCAAGAACGAGTTAGAGCAAATCATGACAAACATCGAAAGGAGAAGGGTCGATAATTGATGAAATCGAAGTATTATTCTCGAAACATTATAATGTTAAATCCTTTTTGACTGGTATTTCGCAGATTTTAACGAGAAAAATAGTTTAGATACAAATTGAAATCATCTTATTTCTTGTTAAAGCGATGTTTAGATGTTTTTCATATAAACTATTTCCCATTAGTGAAACTATTTTTTACATGTGGTCTATTTTGCCGACTTTATTCTGTTGACGAAGACGAAGGATGATTTTTTTTCAATGAAGAAATATCGACGAAAATATTTTAAAATATTCACATAAACCTCTTAGTCTGTGCTTTTAATTACTCCTTTATAAGATGATTTTAATTTTTATTCAAACTTTATTCTTTTTCTTCTCATTAAAATCAACGAAATACCAGAAAGAAAAAATATTTAAAATATCATGTCTCAGAAAAAATATTCTTCAAGCAATTTTTAATGATCAATGTTTTTTTCTTCACAATTTTCACAGCAATGTGATCGACTAATATAACGATATTTAGATAGACTTGATTATCATTAAAGGTCAAATATGATCTCCACAGGAGAATTATTAACTATTTCAAATGATTTGAATACAGTATAAATAACAGGGCAAGTTATACGAACGATCATTGTGCAAAGTGTTGTTGGACAGTATTGCATAGAAAAAAATAAATGTTTCGAGTTCGATCTCATCACACTTATCACGACTCTTCCTTTGTATTGATGAAATGTTTACAATGGTAGTGAATTTTGGTGTCTATATCTATTTTCAATATTTATTCGCAAGTATCCATCTAATTCGTCATATTAAACTATCATCATTGAAAATTAACTCAACAAATCTGTTTTCTATAAATAATTCAATATAAGTAATTAAAATTTTATATCAATGAAAAACGTAGACAGACCGGGCCATGTGGCCTGTTTTAGGCTCTACTACTGCCTACTATAAGTGAAATAGAAAAATATCCAAATATACGAGAAACTCAAACAGAAAATGATGTGAAGATGAACAAGAGTGTGGGTATGACTGAAAACCAAAGACATACTTGTGCTCACGCCCCACAGCCAGATCCTTGTCATTTATTGAGATCATACATTCGTATGTCTCTCCTGCAGATCTTTAACCAGAGATTTTTGTTGATACAAATAAAGCAACATACTGATTTCTTCCAAAATGCATCTGACATTATTTTATAAATTGAAAAATGTCAATGATGATTACTTTTTTATTCGACAATCCTTCTTTTATTTAATGAAGTCATCTCAAAACACCTCTAAGCATCTATGTCATATAATGGCTTTTTCTCTTACTTTTCCTATTTTTCTGCTAAACCTTTTTATGTGAAAGAAAAAAACTTCACTTTATTTCCTCTGATATCAAAACTAAGTAAGCATGACTTGAAATTAATACAAACTCAGATAATTTCTAATTAAATCTGTGTTATCTTGTGTTAGAAGGATTATTCGTTTCGTTTTTTATCATCTTTCGCGATTTGTACTAGCCTTACGAATAACTAAATTGAAGTAAAAACATGTGGAGTAGCCCATGTTCAATTTGTTACATTCGTGTAATTTTCTTCTGAAAATATCGTAAGCAAAACAACTGGCTTTATCACTCTTCCACCTATCCTAATGAATAGCTTTGAATTTAAAATTCGAGGATTCAACTCATAATCGAACAGTTTTGTATCAACGTAATATTCAATGCATGAAATATTTGAGATTATTTTCAATTGCACGAATCAAGCAGGCTGTTGCTTCTTCATTCATATGAATCTAAGTCTGGCATTGAATCAAATGTCAACGCTTCCATCTTGGTTTACCTTTAAGATAGTCATGCAAAGATGAGGCTCGATTATTGTTGGTTGAAATTACTCTTCTTTTAGCTGACTGTAATGAACGAGGAAGGCCAGAGCTGCTTTTTGACATTATCTTGACCATCGATAAATGATGTTAAAATCGATTTACAATAATCGATGATTTATCAAGTTTTTTTTACGATTAAATATGATATCCTAATTAACAAATAAATATCGTTTGGAATTTTTAAAATCATAAAAGATAAACCGAATTGTAGTTTATTTATAGGCATGCGTAATACTCAATACTATTTTCATTCTTTCTCATTCATTGATGTCACCACAATTAGTGCATCTGATTGGACGATCGTTGAATATCGATTATTACTTTGTTCCTCGTTTTATTAAACAAGCATTTAGATTTATTTTGATATAATAATTATTGTAAAACGAAACAAAATAGAAACAAACTTTCGGTGATTGATTCATCTAACATTGACATGAATCATACAGTTCAACACACACAAAAATAAACTTTGTGTAATTTTTGTGTTCTAAATCTTTTTTTATATAGGTGGTGTTCGAGGAAAATTAGAACTAACAGTTAAATTATTACCAACTTCTTGGATTTCAATGTTTGATTGCATCAAGTTTGAAAGAACAAAACCAAATAGACGATTCTTGAACTTTTGCTATGAACATCTATAATCTCGTTTTTTTAGACTATAAAAGTATCAATTTGAATTCCAGTGAACAACTACAACAATCAATGACAACTCAGTAACAAATCATTCAAGAAAGATTACGAGTTATTATCATTAAAACCTTCATACATTCATTTAGATCATCGCAGGATTGGTGCTGATCATTATGGTATCTTCATACTACAGATACGTGAACTTATTTTCATATTGTTTTTTTTAAATTGTAGATCTTAAATTTCATTTTACAGTGTTAATCGATAGATAGTGTAAAACCACGGCATGGTCACAATTTGTTCCAATGATCACTTAGACCTTGTTTTTATGTATTTAATAAAACTTCTCTTTTTTTTTATTAATTTTATTTTTTGTATATGATCAAGCTATATCGTACGGATTAAATTATAGTTTTTTGTTTTTTCTTTTCGTGATTATTGTTATCGTAGAAAATTTAAAAGCAGCTGATGTTTGAAACTTGAAAAATAAATTAAAGTAAACTAATATTATTGTTCAACATCAAAAGTAAAAGCTATCGATAGTTGAAGATTGAGGACATGATCAAAGAACGATATCGTAGTGGTATTTTTTATTAAGAATCGGTAATTAAAACCCGATTTATTGAAAAAATCGACGATCGACCGCGATTTAGCGCAAGATTATCGTTTCGATCTATCGCAATTAATCACCAATTTTGTAGCGATTTCATGGACATGGGAAAATGAACGATGATCAAATAATTACGGACTGATGAATAAAATAAACAAAAGAAGTGGAAGCTTTCATGAAATTTGAACAAACTTTATTCAATTGCATTTTGTTAACCGTTAACGTTACGATCCAAAAAAAGCATCGTATTATTTTTTTTTGAGTTTTCACGTTTAAAATCAACGAGAAAATTACAGTTTAATGGGATTTTCTTAAAGAAAAAAGTTTATTACTGTGACAGAGTTTCTTTAACCTGGTTCCGACCCTGCTCATCCATAAGATCTATCCAATAGCAAGTACACCGACGCAGCAAACAAGAATGTCTATTCAAATGCTTGTATTCGCTGTAATAGAATAAGGCGGTTTTCATGGGAATTCGTGGCCATATTTTTCCGTATATTATAAGGTATAAAATTGCTTCTAAACACACCTCTCATCTTAGGCATGTACTGTTTGACATTGAGATACTCAATTCTCCTTCATGCACGCTTAGTATCGATAGTCACATGTCTCTTTTTTCTTTTCTTTCTGTCTTTCTTTTGCTTTTCTTTTGGCTTTTTTTGCGTTTCTTTTGCCTATCTTTTGCCTTTCTTTTGCCTTCCTTTTGCTTATCTTTTGCTTTTCTTTTGCCTTGATAATAACTACAGTCGCATAAAAAAAAAATAAGGCCGTGAGCGAACATACCACTATCGTATCGATACACACGTGCATTTCTTGCATACACAACAAAATGTCGCTTCTATCGAAAAATTCGAAACTATTCAGTTATCTTCCGCTGTTCATTCGTGCCGCTCGCTCAGCGACTACCACATCAGCGAAAACACCTGAAAATGCACCTATTAACAGGAATCCTGGTGCTACGAAGACGATGCCTGGCATTCCAATGATGGACAGTCAAGGTGGTCCGCCGAAGGTCCGCAATGATAAAATGTACATCATTGGGGGCGTTCTTATCGGCGCTGTCATAGTCTATGGCTTTCAAGCAGTATCGAAGAAAGAATCAAAAGACGGCAAAGAAAAAAAAGAATCGAAGAATGGTGAAAAAGAAAAAGAAACGGAGAACAAAAAACAAGACTCAACCAAGAAGGATAAAGAAGAAGAACCCGAAGAAGAAGAAGAATCAGAAGAAGGAGAAGAACCAAAAGAAGAAGAAGAAGAATCAGAAGAAGGAGAAGAACCAAAAGAAGAAGAAGAAGAACCAGAAGAAGGAGAAGAACCAAAAGAAGAAGAAGAAGAAGAACCAAAGGGCAAAAAGCAAGAATCCAAGGGTAACAAATCTCAAGAACCTAAGGACCAACAGCAAAAATCGGAGCGTAAAGGGGAAGAATCGAAGGACAAGAAACAAGAATCCAAGGGCGACGAATCCCAAGAATCTAAGGGCAAAGAGCAGAAACCGAAGGGCGGAGAAGAAGAACCGAAGGACAAAGGAAAAGACCCAAAGAACAAAGAAGAAGAATCAAAAGGCAAAAAACAAGAATCCAAGGGCAAAGAATCCCAAGCATCTAAAGGCAACGAGCAGAAACCGAAAGGCAAAGAAAAGCAATCAAAGGACGAAGAACCGAAGGGCAAAAAGTAACAAACAACGAAAACATCTGACCACTAACCTCGCTTCGGAGTTACGCATTCTAAAACGAACTTTAACGATACACACTTGTGAGAGTATTAGGTAAGAGTATCTTTCCCTTTTCCTTTTTCTCTCGCATTCTTTATTCTCGACCGTACACTCTATCATGCTCTCTAAGTGTTCAGAATGTCATTATCTTTCTCTTTTCATGTTAGATGTAATCTGGTCTATGTTATGATATTATGTTCTTCATTCTTCATTGTTCATTTTGTTCTATATTCTCGCATCTTTTGTTCTTTTTTCTTCTATGATGTATATAAATCTGTTCTAACTTAACAATAAAGTAATCGAGCTGTAGATGTTATCGGAGCTTGTCTCTCTTTTGTGGCCTTCGAACCTCAACTGATCGGTAACAACACCATCAATAGTTTAGCTTCGATTTGCAGTAGCCAAACTTAATTGTGCCATCCGCTCAAAAAAAAGTTTGCTTGATCTAAAGATGTCAGACAATGCTACACGCTCATTTCAGATTTCGATTTTAAGACCTTTATTTAATGGAATGCTTAAAATCTGACATTTTCGAAAACTTTCAGATGTTTCGATGTCATTTCGAAGCTTTTTAAGGGTTCTCGTACAGTCTTCAAAAATATGACTGCACGAATCTCGCGAATGTACTGATTAATGTCGAAAATAAAAATGTCGAAAGTAGAAACGTTGAAAACCAAAAATATCAAAAAGTTCAATGGATGACTGCGGGTGTGGGTGTTGGTGTGTGCATTTAATTTTTCCATACTCAGACTCCTAAATAAAAAATGATTCATTGTTAGATACTTTTCGTTAAATTACTGTTTGTGTAAAATGATTAAAACATAGTTTCGCCCATTTTTCCTTTCCCTGACAACATTAACACTACTAACATCTTACCCATGCCGTCTTCGAACTCTTCGACATTTTTGGTTTTCGACGTTTCTAGTTTCCAGTTAGACAAAATCAATAAAAAAAAACGCGTTAAAATGGGTCAAAAATAAATGCGTTTCAAATCGTAAAAATCGCACATTTTAACGCGTTGTGTACACGTTATAATTCTGAAGTAAATTTTTCATCGTTCAGAATTCAAACACCTTATAACTCAAGGAGGAAATTGCTGATTCCGTGTTATTGGAATCCATTAGAATCCCTGGAATCGCATGGAATTTCGGAATCCTGAAATCAGCTGTTTTCCCCTTGGTTTGTGCGTTGTCTTTTTTCACTACACAGGGTGTCGTTCATATACAGCTGTTTTCAGAAAAATTTGGACATCTCTTTCTATAGATATTGTCTTTTATACATGCTCTCTTCCAATTGTTTTATATTGTGGTTGATAGCCCACGAAGAGTACTACAAAACAGCATAATTTCATATTCCCTTTGTTCACCTTTAGAGAAAATAGAAAACAAAGATCTTTTTTTCTTGCATATAACAAAATCATTTACAACACAAATTTCAACATTTTTTAAACTTCTTCACCTGAAAAATGATGGAGTTCATCAGCTTTTTGATTTTCTTTTTCTCAATATGGTGTTGTACGGTTGACCGAAAATTTCTGCAAAGTTAACATCCTAGATATTAGATGAGTAGTCGAATATTTCTGGTGTATTAATGTTAACGAATTGTTCAATGACATGATTGATACATTTTCAATCATTTATCTCATTAGAGATGCCCTTGTTCATAATTTTTTTCTAATGCGATATCGCTCTTTTCATCGCTTTTACCTAACAGCAAAAACAAATAGGTAGTTTCCAAGTATATAAACTTAACAAAAACCCTAAAAATCCCCTCTCAATGTATAACAGGCAATATACCTATATTTGCAATATGATTCTATTCATAAACTTTTTTACTTTTACAGTCACATATTTTAGTTGTTCGTTTGGATGTTTTGACCAAGAAGAATTTATTTTAATTTGGTATTATTGTAATAAATAGCCCTTAGCAAAACACCTGTTTTACGATGGATCACACAGCTAGATCTTATGCCTGTGTTTCAAAAGTATAATATTAATATATGGTAGATTTTTCGAAGGAGAAGAAGGTAATATAATCATATGAATATATATTAAAATAAGAGAAATGGCAATTCTCTATGGCCACTACTTAGTACGATTCTCAAAGAGTCAATCCTAAAAAATGACGCCTATAGTTACTTCGAATGATAGAAAAAAGATCTTAAGATAAAAAAACATTTTGTCTAAGTTTTTTTAAAAACAGCTGTATATGAAACTCTTATCGATCTCTTTTTTGAATTTCAGCTTTTCAATGTTTTTTTCTAGCACTTTATTTTTCTAGATTTCTATTTTTCTAGATTTTTCTAGATTTTTCTAGATTTTATTTTTCTAGATTTTTATTTTTCTAGATTTCCATTTTTCTAGACTTTTTTCTAAATTTTTGTATTTCTAGATTTTTTCTTTTCTAGATTTCGCGACTGTTAGAGAATAACCCCGGTAGTATATTTTCTTTTTCGTTTCTCTTTTCTTCTTATTATCTATTTCTTTGATATGATATATCTCAGATTATTTTCTTTATTCTATTTTTTCCTATGTTTTGAAACCTAGGCAGTGAATATATACATATATGTGTTTCATTTCTTTTCTTTTCTCTTTCTTCTAGTTAGATCTTTCTTTGATGTTAAATAGCCTTGATCATTCTTTATTGTTTTTTCCTTACGTTTAACCCTTGATCTTGTTCACTTATATATACAGGGTATCCCAAAAGTAACGGAACAGAAAAAAAATTGAATATCTCCACTATGGCTCGAGCAAACAAGCGGATTTTTTTACCAATGATAGAGGATGTTCAAGCTTTATATTCATAAAGACACGCCTGGAGAGACCCTGCGTTAAGCATATTGTTTTTGTCTATCTGTGAAAAAGTATTTTTTTTTATTGAGATCACTAGGTGATACTTAACAAAGGGTCTCTCTAGGCATATCTTTATGGATATAAAACTTGAACAGACCTCTATCATTGATAAAAAAATCAGCTCGTTTGCTCAAACCGTAATGGAGATATTCAATTTTTTTTCTGTTCCCTTACTTTTGGGACACCATGTATATATATATGTAGATGTAGATGTTTTTCTCAGATAGAGAGAGAGTGTGTGTGTGCGGTGTGCAGATAAACATATATGTATGTGTGTGTGAGGACATTTTTTCCCGATTTGAAATAAAATAAAAAAAGAGTCGAACATCAGATCCTCTCCTCTAATAGCGACATATTCAAATTTTCGATAGTTAAAAATGTTTTTTGTTTCAAACTTTTAGATTATTTAAAGTACTGTTTATCAATCATTTAATATGTCTGACATTGAACGTATGGAATCACCACCACTAACAACAACACAAACATCAAGACCAACATGTGGAGTGTAAGTTGATGTTAATCATTTTCCGAATAATAAAATTGTAAGATGAGCCACGATAAAACTACTCTATACACATAGTGCGTAGTGTTCATGAACATAGAATATGCTTGATGAACTTCAGTACTCATATTGTTGTTACTCACATTGTTCAGAAATAGTACCATAATGCTAACATATACTTCTACTCAGAAGTGAACAGACATTTCAAGTGTGTTTTTATTTGTTTATACTACCTGATTGGATCAACATCGATCCGAAAAAATCATATCATGATGATCGCCCACAAACGGAACTTCAATTTATTAAATTTGCCCATTGTTCTCACATCGCCAAAACCGTAAGTACTGTTTTTGTTGTTGAATTGTATATATTGATAATTATACTGGAGTATTCTTCTAATGAGACTGTTGAATGAACCGACTATAACTCACTATGAATGTATGTTTCTCAGCTTGGTGCACTTAGTACGATACTATTAATGTCTTGACAATAAAAATATTAGAATATTGTCAAAACTAAAACATACATCACATTCACATATTTGAGACGGTTCTAAGTTAGAGCAACAAAATATTTTATTTTACCTATTCTTTTGAGAACAAATGAAGTGCTTCACCTTGTTACAAGATAAGTGTAATGTTTATTTTGATAAAATCTTTATAATTATAGAAATTAGAAATTACAGTTAGGTATGAATGGTCATTATTAAGATTGATACTTATCAATATAAGCTTCATTAGGTTGGTTGGTCGGTCCTCTTGTGGACCGTCTCTCAAATTATCGTGTTAATCTAATAAAAAGGAAAAATGTGAAAAATGGAAGGTGAATGATATTATGAGCAGTTCGGTGATTCCCAAAAAGCTGAAACTGATTTCTCACAATTTCTTCGAAGCGGAACCGATAATAGATTTGAAACGGTTTAATCATTAGAGAGATACAAAAAAATTTGTAGTTCTCGAGATAATTGGAAAATAGTACGTCAAAAACGTAACACCGTTACACTTGGACAACCCTATATATCTCTGCATATATCTCAATCAATTGAAGAACTTTTAAGAATATCAAGTTTTTTTTTCTGCAGAATATGCTTTGATTAATTATTTTTTGTTTCTTATTTAGTTTAATTATATATTACGATCGGCTTAAGTGCAGTAATGGAGCACCAAATTTTACTACAGACTGATGGTGGATGGAGGTGTAAATATACGCTTCCCTTGTTGTATGTTACAAAGTTTTTGGACATATAAAAAAGTTTTTTTAAATGGAGTGTGGGTATGAGTGAGATGCAAATGCGGGTGTCGGTGTGGGTGTCTCTTTTCTTAACTTATGCCCACATTCATACCTACTCATCCATACCTAAATCCACACTTCACCTACACCCATACCCACACCCACAACAACTAGAATTTCAGTTCAGGTCGACTAAGTTGGAGTGGGTATGGAGTGTGGGCGCAGGTGTGAGTATGGATCTTCTATCGTCTCACACCACACCCACCCTTTCATTTAATATATATATATATGCAGGGGCCGCGCGAAAGGTCTAAGATTGGGGGGGGGGTGTAGCAGGTTTTGAGAGGATGTAAAAATTTTTGGGGGATGTAAAAGGGTATTTGGAGCAAAATTTCTTAAAAAAACCACAAAATTTGTTTCAAATCTGCTCCCGTCGCTCAAAAAAAAACAAAAATTTTCAATTATTGGGGGGGTGTACACCCTCCCACACCCCCTCGCTCGCGCGGCTCCTGTATATATGTATATATATATTAATGATTTTATTTATGAAATAAAAATAATTTTCAATAATTATTTATTCATCGAGATAGGTTCACATATTTATTCAAAAGAGATACGTGTACCATGTTGTTTAATAGTTTCATTATTTTTAAAATAATTTGATTTTGTATTTGTTCGACTCCAAACTTCTACTTCTTCATTATCATCGTGGTATTGTGAATTATCTATACCGTTAAAATCATGTCGTTCATTTCCTGGAATAAATACACGAACTTTTCGACGTCTAACAATACCAATAATGAGAATCATGGTGATAATAAATAAGAAACCAGTTACTGTGATAAATTTCATTTTATTAGAAGATATATCAAATTTGGTTTTTTTATGTTTACGATGATATTGACTGGTAGAATTAACATCATAAATAGAAGTATCACTACTTATTGTAGATATACTATTAGTTGTTTGAACTATAGTTGTATGTTTAAATTCATCTAATGCTTTAGCAGAATTTTTCCATGTAAAAATATATGGATATTCTTTTGTTGGACATTTTAATGATTCACCTATGTGCCATGACGATTTTTTACCACCAACAGGTTCAAGCATATTATTCCAAAGTGAAAGTGCAGCTAATGAATGACCTTTACCTAAAAAAGTTTTCAATAAAAATTAATCTTTTACTTTTAGACAAAAAAAGACCTAAACTTACCACTAAAATGAAAACAATCTGGTGCAAAATAACTAAAATCAATTTTATGATTATCTTTATATGGTAGTTTAGTTTTAACCATAAATGGTTGAATAACTACAGTAAAATCATCACGATCTTCATATCGCCCAGAACCAATGAAATCAAAAAGTAATTGATGATAACGTATTATATAATCTTCTAATGTTTTAGCTTGTTCAGCTGTTGGAAAAGCAGCACATGGACATGTTTTTTTATAAAGTATTTGACAAATATAATTACCATTTCTAAGATCTTTAACATTACGAACATTAAGTACAGGAACAAGATTTATAAGTGTACGTGGTATTGAAGCATTATATAATTTATTCAATGTATCACGAATATTATGCATATATTGTTCTGGTGTATGCTTAGTTGAATTTGAATCTTCGCAAAAACTGCATAAATCATTACTCTAAAATATTTATTTGACATTAAAAATAAACAGATTTTTTAGTTTGACTTACACCAACAAATAATGTAATAACTTTCCAATCCTTATCCCAATCACATAATTTGTCATGTTTTAACCGATTAATAAGCAGTTCTGCTTGATACACCATTTGACTTGAACTATCCCATGATTTAGC